AGAGTGGCTGGAAAGCTGCCCAGCAGAGAAGGACCTGGGGGTGCTGGTTGACAGCCGGCTGAACATGAGCCGGCAGTGTGCCCAGGCGGCCAAGAAGGCCAATGGCATCCTGGCCTGTATCAGAAATAGTGTGGCCAGCAGGAGTAGGGACATGATCGTCCCCCTGTACTCAGCACTGGGGAGGCCGCACCATGAATACTGTGTTCAGTTTTGGGCCCCTCACTACAAGAAGGACGTTGAGGTGCTGGAGCGTGTCCAGAGAAGGGCAACAAAGCTGGTGAAGGATCTGGAGAACAAGTCTTATGAGGAGCGGCTGAGGGAACTGGGACTGTTTAGCCTGGAGAAGAGGAGGCTGAGGGGAGACCTCATCGCTCTCTACAACTCCCTGAAAGGAGGTTGTAGCGAGGTGGGTGTCGGTCTCCTTTCCCAAGTAACTAGCGACAGGATGAGAGGAAACAGGCTCAAGTTGTGCCAGGGGAGGTTTAGATTGGATATTAGGAAAAACTTCTTCACCAAAAGGGTTGTCAAGCATTGGAACAGGCTGCCCAGGGAAGTGGTTGGACATGTAGATGTGGAGCTTAGGGACCTGGTTTAGTGGTGGACTTGGTAGTGTTAGGTTAACAGTTGGACTCAATGATCTTAGAGGTCTTTTCCAACCTAAGTGATTCTATGATTCTATTAAATGTATAGTAAAATAGCAACATACAGTCAGATCTACTAGTGAGAACCAGTACGAGAACTCACAGTTGAAAGTGTTGCTTTTAAGGCACACGAGCCAGGCACCTTCTAGAGATACATGAAGGTGGTCTAGAAACTTCACTTTGGCATCTCAGTAACACCATCCTTGAAAGGCTTTGCATCTGCAGTGGGATTTAAGTAATCTTTGTGATCAGTACACTCAGTGAGGATGATGTTACTGGCATCAGTAGGAGTGGGACGATGAAGTCCAAAATGAAGTATTTCAAGTGCAGATTGAATGTGTGGGGTTTTTTGTTTGTTTTTAGTACTCTTCGTATAGCTGATTATATATTGTATCTTCAGATAAGTCTCTGGAACAACCTATTTTCATCTTTTAAGGCTCCTCACTGCAGTAGCTTAAGAGCTTTGTATGTGCCCAGAGAACAAGGCTCAGATACTGATACTTTCAAAAGAACTTTCTTCATCTGAAGATTCTGGCATTTGGATTTTTCTTTCCTAGGTTTAGAGAGGGCAGCTAGTTTCTAGTCCGTAAACAGCGACACATGAGCAGCTTTGTAGGGGCTTTCTTACAACCCAGCCAGAGTGTAGAAAGTACTATAAGTACATGGGCACATGTTAAATTTGTTTGAAATAACCTTTTTCACTATTTAATGCTTTCTGTTACCTTGAGAACTTAAACAGAGAAGGCTTTTCAGTGAAATTTGTTTCATCTCCCCTTGCAACAAGGTCTTGAGTATCCCTCAGTACCAGGGCATGAGATTGAGGTAGGAGTGGGTGAGAAGGGAAGGACCTTATAGAACTCTGGTTTTACTGATCTGGCCTATGGATTAGATGGATGTCACACGACCTAAACCACAGTATCCAAACCTAATGTCTTGAGCCGCAGTGTTTAAATATGAGTATGTCCTTGGAAAGTCTTAATGGTCTCTGTTGATTCTCTGTTTGGACCATCCTTGCAAGCTCTGTGGAGGCCTTCATTCACTTAATAGTTGTTCAGCCCTCATTCAGTGTGCAATGTTATTGCTGATCTTGTGTTAGGGTGACAGCTTCTGTTCTCCCTCTCTGTCTCTGAAACTGTGTGCATTTCATTCTTGTAGAGGAGGGAGCTTTGGAGAGAATAGTTTGGTGGCTGCTTCCTGATAAATTTTGCCAGTTGCCTTGCTTAACTGCTTTATCGAGTAGCCAGTTCTGTGTCTCATTAAAACCATTAACTCTTTTTGACTCCAGACTTGTTCAGGTGCTGCGCAGATTTAGAGCTTTACTTCTGTTGAAATGTAAATCATTCTTTCCTTGCAGAGCAAAGCAAATGTGCTTGAGGAAGCAGGAATGCTTCTTTGTCTGAGCAGGCTAAGATACAAGTCTGTTTCATCGAAACTGTGTTATATTAAATATAAGACCTGATTTACTGCATGAGGCTCTGGATTATATGCAGAAATACTAATTGCTTGACAGATCTCAGGTTTCTCTTCTCTGGGTTGCTGAGCTTACTTCACTAAGCATAGAGTGGCCTTTACAGCAACAAGGGCACTTGTGCATTTTCTGGATTTTGGGCATAGGCATTCAAGCTTAGCTGTGGCCCACAGACATCAAGTTTACTAAATTACTTGACTACAGATGGTCTCAAGCTAGCTGTGTAACTGATTAATGAAAAGAAAAAACATTGGAAAATTCCAGTCAGACAGCACCAGTGGGAACATATGAAATGAAAATAGCAAGTATTGTCTGTGTGTGTGAGACAGACAGAAAGACTGACAGAATGTCAACCAACTGGGACAAACCAAACATTGAAAACTGATGTAATACTGTTTAGGGTATGTCTGCATACTCCAAAGGAGGAGTTGTTGTAATGGGAGGAGGGAGAAGGGAAGACTTTTGTCTTATACAACTTGTATGGAGAAGTGAGGCTAATGAGGGTAGAGGTTTTATTCGGATTGTCTGTAATCAGCTGTTTATTTAACCTCTAGCTCTTACTTCAAAGCAGAGGGGCATGAAAGAAAAGCTGTTGTGCAGAAATGTGCTGGTTAACTGAAATTAAAATGTGGGGTTGCTATAGAGTAGACTTTAAGGAAAAAGTGTAATGTTAGATTGAAAATGCCTTCTAATACGTTTTGGAGTACTCTGAATGTTGTAGCAGACTGCTTAAATCATAGACTGTAAGTAATTTTGATGTAATCAGTCAATGATGAAAATAATTACTAAAGTAGCTATTCGTGGTGCAAAATTCCCTTTGACCTTTTCAAGAAGTCACTCCCCTCTGAAACTGTAAAGGAAGTAGCATATCTGTTTCTGATATTTATAAGTTATTCCTCATTATACTTTTCATTTTAGGAAAAGCCACGAGATGTTCCAAACTTGGTCTGCCAAATAGCCTAATTACTCCCTTCAAGTAAGACGGGAGGACCTGCTCTTTTTGTTGCGGCTTATTCAAATAAGTGTAAAGGTTTAAAAGGCCAGTCTTAATCTTGAAAGGACAAGTAATTGCTTTGTGCTCCTGGTTTCTGTGTTGGAAGTCATTCTTCCAAGGCATGTCTTCAAGTATCTTTCAGTCTTGCTTTGTTTCTCCATGGGCGCATTTTCTAGCAACAGTGGATTGGACGTACCAAATCTCCCAGTTCCTAGGATCCAGGAGCCCTAAGCAGTTATTTGACTAGTTGTTCTTCTGGTCATGCATCTCTCATCTCTCTGCCTGTTCTGTTGATAGCTGATAAAGCACTAAATACATCAGTGGTTTTAAAGTAGTCTCACACAGCTAATACTGGCAACACATCCAACAAGTGTACAGTACCCCGACAAGGGTCATACAGTCACTGTAAAAGGAGTGATGAGAATATCGTGAGTTGGGGAAGCTGAGTTCTCTTGTACCTTTCCGTGATTCCATACAGTCTTATTGTGGTTTTGCCATAGCGGCTAGCATTGTGGGAATTACTTGGCACTTACACTTCTCTGTGACTGCAGGATGCATGCTGAAGTGTTAAGAAACCATCAGGCAGGAGGGAGTTGTGATGCTTAATTAAATATAAAGCCTTTTCCTTTCCTGACCTAGTTGCCACATGCTAATAGTCTTGCTTCCAGGCCAACCTAAGAACAAATTTAACAATTGCCATCTGGTAAAATACTGCTTTAAGCATGTGTACAGACTGTTTTCCTTTAGGCATGAATTGGGGACAGCTATTGAGCTCTGACCTAGTGGCAGTCCCAGATATGTTCAGCTGCAAAATGGAAAAGGGATTGAAAATGATGATTTTTTTCCACTAACTTTGCTTTTTTTTTTTCCTCCTCCCTCCCCTCCTCCCCCAGATAACTATTATCTTTAAATCATACCAAGACTGTACAGATCAGAAAGTATATCAAGCAGTGACTGATGACTTGCCTGCAGCTTTTGTTGATGGTACAACAAGTGGAGGTGATGGGAACACCAAGAGCTTGCGAATTGTGGAGAAAGTCAGTGGCAAATATGTCGAAATGCATGCCAAGTACATTGGGACCACGGTGTATATACGCCAGCTTGGGCACTACTTAACATTGGCCATTCGCATGCCTCAAGAGTTGGTCATGGCCTACGAGGAGAGCCAGGATCTGCAGCTGTGTGTGAACGGTTGCCCTTCAACTGAACGTATTGATGATAGTGGCCACTTACCATTGCCTGTGATGGGGCAGTTGCTCCCTCAGGGTGGTGCTGCTCATCCCTGGTCAGTGTACACGCTGGAAACTGCCACCACCAAATGCCATGAGAAGATGCTGGTGAAGGACATCTATTTTTACTCATGTGTATTTGACCTGCTCACCACTGGTGACGCTAACTTCACGGCTGCTGCTCACAGTGCCTTGCAGGATGTGGAGGCACTGCACCCCAGAAAAGAGCACTGGCATATCTTTCCCAGCAATGGAGGTGGTGGTGTGGGCAAGGGTAGCAAATTCTTTGTTGGTCTTGGACTTGTGTGCTTGATCCTTCTTGTGTTTTTGTAGGTTTTGTTGTCTATAACAAAGTTTTGAAATATATATTGTCATAATATATTGAGTAAAGATGAGTATATATGTATATATCATGTATATGAAGGGGTGTTTTGTCTTGGGACACCTACCAGATTGTACATATTGTGTTAACTGTTTTCGTGTATGTTTGATGTAGTATTCTTTGTACCTATTTGTTCTGCAGTTGGTGAAATGTTTTATAATGTCCCTGCATTGGGACCTGATAGAAAGCACTTTATTTTTTATATATTAAATATTTATGTGTGTATCTGAGTAACTATGTATTATACCTACATAAACGTGCATACAATACTCAGTGTTCCCTCTAAGTACTACTTGGTTTAACCGATTTTTTTAATTGGATTAGTTTGTGGTTTTTTTCTATCATTTCTCTTACTCTAGAGACAGCATGTCTCTTGTCCTGTAATGACATTGGTGATTTGCTGGGTTCACTAGTTAAAATTATTAAGAATGGAGTTGTATTCTGTCCCTCAAACAAATGGCCATCCCTTCTTTGGAGGGAGAGAGTGAAGTGCTTCCCATTAGCTCAGATGACCATCTTGGATAACATGAATTACAGAACCTTCTTTGTAATTCTGACATTTCCTAGTTTCATGGCATGAGTTTCAAAAGAAGAAAAGGGAATGCGTTGGAGTGAGACTTATGTAGCTTTATAGAACCAGTGGAAAGATCATTTTAAAAGACATTAATGGTCTAGTTGTGTAAGCATGTAAGGTAACTATTGCAGCTGCCTCTAACGTGGAGGGTTAAGTCATTCTCCAAGATGGACTGGAGAAATCACAAGCCTGAATTCTGTCCCTTGCTTAGGTGCTAATTTTATCTTATACATTCAGAAGGAGGAGCAGAGTGAGGCTGCAGGCTCTGACTATTACTGAGGAGCTACGAGAAGAATGATTTGGTGGCCTGAACGTTGGTTTTACTTAGTGCCTTAGTCTGCTGCAAGAAGTGGAAGCTTTTATACATGCTACAATAAACCCAGCTCCAAGATGGGCTTATTTCACTCTTAAAACTGTTCATCTAACATATCAGTCCAGTCTCAGAAGTGCTATCTGAATAAGACTCAAATAGCATTTGCCTTTGTTAAGCAAACTTGAGCTAGTGTTTGCCTTGGTGGAGGGAGATGGAGTTTATTCATGGAATGAAAGCTCCTAGTTTTTAATGAAGATTCTTCTGGCAAGGTTAGGGACCGTTGACTGGTAAGGACAGCAGTAGTCTTCTCAAAGAAACGAATTAATTCCCTGTATGGATGTGTAACTGCATACAGGTGTTATTCTGGGAATACTTGAGATAAAAGTAGTCAGAACTGACTTAAGGCTGAAGGTAAAAATTTATTTTAGACTAGACTATTGGCAGCTTGTTCTGTCTGTGCTGTCTGATGGTGCTGTTCCAGATGAGTTAGACTTGTGGATTTATGATACGTCTGATAATGTGGCTCCTGTGGTTTCACCTGATGGTGACAAGCTTCTCCCTATTTTTGTGGCTGAACTTCCTCATCAATGCTCTGAATTTAAAGTTCTCATGGCTGAAAGCTGATGGATGAACCTAGTGTTGCTTGCAGTTACTTATTGGGCAGGCACCATATACTAGTTAATTTTCTCTGTCCCTGGATCCTGTATGTATATACATATATGTATACTAGCATTGAGTTGTGAGCCTCTCAAATAATATTTCAGAAGTGTAGTAATTCCCCTAAAGAGTTTTCCATTTTCTTGTTCCTGCTGTGGGATTTCTTGAGAAAATGTTATTTGCACATGTTCATTCTTGAAGTCCGCCATCGCCAAGAGAGCTTTAGTTAATGCCAAACATGTGGATATTTTGAAGCTAGTGAATGGTCTTTAGGGAGAACTTAAGCTTAGAGGGAATACTTTTTTTTTTGCAGGCTCTCCAAATGGCTGTCTTTTCTAAGGCTACAGATATCCCCCCCCCCTCCCCCCCCCATGCTTGGAAACCTAACAATGTGTCAGTATTTGCAAAACCTTTTAGATGTGGTTCATGAATATACCAGTAAGTATATGTTTGTGTAAAAGAGTGGCTGTGCTGTGTGTAAATACTTTAAATTATGATAGAATAAAGTTGCCTACCCTGCTGAGGAACGTCTGTAATGTGGTGTTAGTGACCCCTGGTGGGGTGCAGAGAAATTGGGGACGTGGGCCACGTACTGGGCAGGCAATCTATAAACAAAGCCCCAATTTGTTTCCTAGCCATCACTTGTTGGATAGGAATGTGCTGAGTACAGTCGTTGTACTTCCTTGCAGATGCTTGTTTCTCCTCTGCTAAATAAGCTGTGTAGTGAAATTTATGACCAGCAGCTGCAAACCAGGCCAGTTTATTAAGAGACTGTGTATGGGAAACCAACAGCAGGAACCATCCCCTCAGGATCCCGCTTGTACAGTTTTTTTGCAGTGTTTGCAGAGATATTTAGTAGAGCTTTAACACAGTGATCTGATACTGCTGCATCCATCTTGAGAGGCGTTATGAAAATCCTCTTGTAAAGTTACTGGAGAACTCTCAGACCAGAAGAATCCTGGAAGAGAAAATTGCTTTCTGTAAAACTGAAGAAGAGATTGTGGCATTGAAAGAATAAGTGATACAGAAGTGTCCATAAGATTACAGAACTTTGGTTAACAAGATGATCTGCTAAGTATACATGGTAACTGTAATATTTCAACTGCAGGGCTAATCACACAGCGTGAAGGTAAATTGGAAGTGCCAAAACTTAAAACAAGTTAAGTCAGATACGTACCAAGAAAGATAGACTGAATAAACACAACTTTGAGTGTTGTTTTGCTAAGCTTGTGTTACAGCTAGAATTTGAGGTACGTGGGGAGCAATCTTAGGTGGTAGATACATCACTGAAATGCTTTGTGGAAACGACTGTAGAAAGCAAAGGGAGCTTTAAATATGTATATGTTTAGTGTATACAGAAGCTGGCCATCATATCTGTAAGAGCTTACTTTTGTTCAAAGGTGTTGATCTACCACCACAAGCTCTGCAGAAGGCAATATAGCATGATTATCAGTATTTTAATGCAACGACTAGTAAGCTATTACTGATCCTATCTGTTGTTGGCCTTTGTCTTAAAAAAGTTGGCTGATGCCTTGGATATTAGTGGCTTAATTCAAAAGGTTGTTTTAAGTATCTTCTAGAGCATTTCTAACCGGAGTATTTCCTAATCCTATGCTAACAGCTTTTAACAGCAGCTGAGGACAGTTCTCTGCAGTTGTGGAGTGTGACAGCTTCCCTAGGAAGCATGTCACAGAACTGAGCAGAGAACGGGCTGCTTAATCCTTAATTTTGTATGTACGTATGGCTCCTGAACAAGGGTATTATAAAAGGAAATAGTATACTTAACTGACTGTCAAACCAAAAATTTTTTTTTCTCTCTTCCTGGAAAACTTGGCTGGAAGAATAATCTGCACAGAGCACCTGCTAAGTGGAACAAAACCTGAGAGAATGCAGGGTCTGAGAACAACCTGGCTTTTGTTCTTGTGGTCAAGTTAGAGCCCTTCAGTAGTGCATTTCCTTTCAAATTGCTGCTGTACTGCCAGAAAATAGATCATCAGCTATTTACATTCTCTTACCTCAGCATTGTGGATACCGTGCATTTGTTGTATGGGTTTTGGGGATGTGCAAGCAGCTATTTACTTATATACACCCTGAAGTGAAGCAAGCAATGTTGCAAACTTGCACTGCCTAATGAGGGTTTCATTAGTGGATGTGTTTAGGAAAAAAGCCCAAGTGGCTTGTGGCTTTCTTCTCTTTTGACAGACTCATAGCATAGTTTCAACTCTTGCATTCGTTTTCTTCATGTAAGTATACCTGTGGTGTTTTACACTGAAATTTTCATGCTTTGGGTTATTTTAATTCCCGTCTATGTCTTGACTGATACAAACTGTATTCCTTTCTGTCTTTCCCTATTCCAGCTATTAAAAACTGCTATCTATACAATGCCTAGACATGACTAGTAATGACTCCCTTTTTTTAGAAGGTATTCTTTGTTGTTGTTTATAAGATAAGCGTTCTCTGTGTTGTGCTGCTAGTTCCCTCCATCTATATTCAAAACAAACAAGGAGTGTGTGGGTCAATGTTGTTCATTAGATTTTATCATTTTTATTAATTAGCTTGTTTTGGAGAGCAACATAGCCACAGATCAAGTGCAAGTATGCAGGTAAATTTATTGTGATGCTGATGTAAAGCAATTGCATCTGATCTGATTCAGAATTCTTTTAGTCTGACTGTGTTTGTAAATTACACTTCATTGAAATTAAAAGCTGCTGATTAGTAAATCAACTGTGAACAGTAAGATTGATTACAGCCTTTGGACACATGCAGGGCTATGTATCAGAACTGATAACTAGATATAAAAAGGACTTAATGTGTTGTATGTGGAGTACCAATAATTTTTATTCATAGGAATTATTTTCATGATTACTGCAGTTTTAAAGCTTAGTTTCCACTTTTTTCTACACCATAATAGTAGAAGAATAATCTGTGACATACACAAAATGTGTACATGTCATTGATTCTAGTATGTGCTTGAGGGCTGGGTCTACAAAAGATTTTATATGTCTAGTTGGTGTGCGAAGTGTTTGAATCCAAAATTCAGATACACATTAAAGCCTTCTCAGCTTGAACCCAGATGTTTCTTAGGATCTCTACCTCTCTCTTCTTAATCCAGTAGAGACCCTCAAGGAACCTGTATTTTTGCTGCTGAGCAGAGAAGAAAAATGCGGTCTTGAGGGTTGCAGGTGCACCCTAGCCAGATTCACCTGTTCATCTGCCTGCTTTACTTGCAGGACTTTTTTGGCAGGTACCTGCCCTGCTCACTCACGTTTCGCAGGTGATGTGCAGTGGTGGTAAGCATACTGCCAGAGTTTGGGAGAAGCAAGTTAAAATTCCTCCTCTGCCTCAATCTTTCATATCTTCCGAGAGTGCCAGTGCTCTAACAGCTGAGAGCTATTATCAAATAAATGCCATTCTGTGTTTTTATAAAGTGATAGCTTTATCCAAACAAAGTCTTAGGTGTCTTGAAAGAGATTGGTGGCATACTTTACACTTGAGAGTTATTTCACCTAAATTCAGTAAACGGAACATGTAGGCCGCCTCTGTAGTCAGTGGAGTAAATAGCAGTATTGTAGGTTGAGTTGAATTGTCTTCTGGAGGTGCTTACTGATATCCTTCGGTAGAGGGGAAACCCAGGCAGCTCATTTTTAAATAGCTGAAATTCGTCCAGCCCTGATGGGTACATTTTAAATTCCAGCCTAGGTTCCTAGTCAGGGACTACCTATGTTTGCTAGAGACAAGCCAGCTGACCCAGCATTTCCTGCACAGCACCACATGTCTCCCAGGCTTGACTGATGGGTACTGTGAAAGCCTCACACCTGACCTTCTTGGCCTGGCCTGTACACTGAAACTTTCAATATTTGATTTCTCTTGAAAACATGCCTGAAGAAGGGAACAAGGCCACCTGATCCTTTCTGTACTGGCCCCTTCTCCCCTCCTAAAGCAAGCTCTATGCAGGGGGGG